ATTAATAACATAACTGAAACCATGCAACAATAAATAACTTTTTATCTGTATTTAACATTTTCTGTCGTTGAATTTGGATATTTTGTTTTATTACAGATATGTTGATGATATTTGTACCACGGTGTCTCCCTTAAAAATTGATATTTTATTACAACAATTCAATTCATTTCATCCGCGTCTCCAATTTATTACAGAAATAGAGAGAGATCAAACAAATTTTCTGGATTTTCACTATATCCATCAACAGGAATCGTTTTATTTTTGATTGGTACCATAAGCCGACGTTTTCAGGAAGGTTTTTAAATTTTTACTCTAATCATCATATTACACAAAAAAAAGGTACAATTTTTTCGTTAGTTGACAGAATTTTTTTACTATCTGACTTTATGTTTCATACAAAAAATTTGACATTTATTATTAATATTTTACTAGATAATGACTATCCATTGAATTTTATTTTTAACACAGTTTAACTTTTTTACATCTAAAAAACCATCATCTTCTATCTTTAAAACAAATATCTTTTTTGGAACGCGTATAACCATACTATTCTTTTAAGTACATCATCTCAAGAGTAGACTAAAATTGTATTTGAAAATATTATAAATTTAAAAAGTTATGATTTTTTAAGTAAAAATACTCATTTTTCCAAAGTTAATATGTTAATGATTTTTTTTCGTGTTAAAATTAAATTTTTTACTACAACACCATTGTTCCATTTTTTTAAAGAATGAAATTATACAGGATGTCTGATAAGGTTTGACTAAGTATGTTACAAAAATTGTTCATTTTCTTGTCATAAAGTTTTGAGGATTTTTGTCAGAATTCTTTCAGAATTTTTTAATACCATATTTTCTCATATTGATAAAAATAAGAAAATGCAGTACTAGAAAGTTAATAAAAAATTCTGAAAAAATTCTCAAAGTTCTATAAGAAGAAAATAAACAATTTTTATCTCTTGCAGTTTTTCTGTAGTTGATAATATTTGAGAAAAAAATTATTAAAGACCAAAATTCGACAATTTTTTGTAATTAATATCTCGCTAACTATTGCCAAAATTGCAAAAAAAATAGAGAATTTTTCAACTCAGTTTAATTCACCCTATTTACACACAAGCGCTTTGTCAAAACTTATCAAACACCCTGTATACTGTAATTTTTTAAGACAATGGAACTAATATTATTGATTTGATAATACTTCAATAATGGTTGGAGTCATTTTAACCCAGAGTGACTATTGTGTGACTTTTTTGAAGTGTGACCGTAAATAAAAATTACAAATACAAAACAGTTTTTTTATTTTGTCTATTTGAATGTACAATTGAAGTACTTTTACGTATTTAGCTAAATAATATAGGATAAAGTGTACAATGATTGATCATTTAAGT